TTTTTTTTTTTTTTTTTTGTTTAGGTAGTGGAATCTTTCCCTTGTATTGCTAGGAAAGATCAGAATGCCATAAGACAATTACTCCCAAACTTTCTGTGCTAAATTCTTGTGAGCCTCAGCAAAAACAGCAGGCCTTTTCATCTTAATCATTCTATTCAGTGTCAGATTGTCACCCTAAATTAGGATGTTTAAAGCAGTAATATTTTACTACTTTACCAAAGCTCATTGCTAAATGTGTATCTCACCTACGATGCAAATGTGAACATTTTTTCTAGCAAGACAGCTTGCACAAGTACTCTTGGCTCCACTTGCCAGTCTAGATGCATAACTTGACAAAAAGCCAGTGAGACTTGAAGAGTGATGGTAGATAAAAGAAAGAAAAAGAAAAAAAAGAGTATTCAGAGACTTAGTAAGATGTTGGAATCAAGTCCCTCTACATTACATGATATTAAATGGAATTAAAATTAAATGAAGTAATTATTTTCCAGGTGCCTGACATGCTGAGCTTTTTGCTACAGGTATTACTAACCAGACTTGCCAGACCTGTTTAAATGTAAACTTGGGCAGAACTAATCCCACTCTGAATCCTGCCAGGTCAACGGCAGAGATGAGCTGTAAGCTGCATCAGGCTGCATGTGCCCTGTGAGGCAGGGCCTCACAGCAGAACTCAACTCTGCCTGCATGCTGGCCATGCATCTCTCAAACTCCATCTATCACTGGAAAACAGGTTGTGTTACCTTGCAGTTTCATATCAGCATAGCTAGGAAAATGCTGAAGAGTTGAGGCACAAAACTACTGCAGAACCTTTATGGCACAGAGCATAAGCAGCAGAGGAAGTAACTAATCTCTTGCAAAGTTCAGCTACCAAATACAGATCAGAAACAAGCCACACCAGCTATCTGTTGTTTTCCACCACCTCCAATTCTTCTTCAGGTGATCATGGGAAAGATAAAAATTCTTTTTTGAAGAGATCAAGATGATTTTGATCATCAGAAAGAAGAAACTTCAACCAGAAAGTAACTGGAAAGTATTTGGCAAAACAAGCTTTCACATCATGTAACATCTGCATGATCTATTTTTCATGATCTACCAGTTTGTTCACTACCAACTTAATCCACGGGGAAAAGTCTATTAGCTACGGAAAACTATCTCTTCTGCTGCACTGACTGAAGTTAAAACATAAAATGAACACAAACAAACTTAAATGTTTTCAACAGTGTACTCTTTTCCCTTGATTATAAATCAACACAGCACCTGAGGTGTGATTTTTGTTACTGATTTTTCCATTCCCACTTATCTTCCCATACTGCTAGCTAGAGCAACATTCCTGAGGGCTAAAGCTGGAATGCTGCTGTGAGTTTCCCATACTATTGCAAATACTGCCCACTGATCCAGGAGAGTGAACCAGGTCAAAGGTGTTAGGGTCACTTCTTGTTTTCTTTTCTGGAGAGAAATGTAAGTGCTCTGAAAAATTGCTCCATTCAGTGCAAAGCTTGCTGCAGCAGATGGTAGGGACACTGAGAACAGGAGTAATCTATCTGTGAAAGTTTTAATGCCCAGCTTAAAAATATCACCTATTATTAGTAAGCAAAAAAAATTTGGTAGTAAAGTTACTGGTAGCATTGGAAACAAAAAATAGAAGTTTAATCCACAGATTTGATAACAAAACTAGCTAAAAATAGTTAGCTATTAAGTATGGGAATTAAGCGAGTTAAAACCTCTCAATAAATCAATAGGATAAGAAGTGTTTAAAAGAGTAGAAGCATTAGAGTATCAGTGTAATGTTTCTGAAACAAAGTAAGCATGTACAGGATCTCAGATTAACATTTCTGAAATTATTTTGACCATCTGAAGTCTGACATACAGTACTATCAAAGCAAAAGCATTTTAACGTTAGTAACAGGAATAGGAATTCCCAGTAATGTTGTAGCTCACCGTGTAACTACGCCATGAGGATTAATCATCCCTAAATGGAGGTTAGTTAAAAATGATCCTGCTATGCTGATGCAGCATTTCCAGGCTACAATTTCACCAGGCCAGAAAAAGCTAACTCTCCTGCCAGAAGAAACCCTCCTCCTCCTGTGACAGCTCCACACTTGCCTTTTTTAACCCCTGGCAAGGTCACCTCCCCAGTCCAATCCAGCATGCAGCTGCACAAATGCTTACACCAGCACAAGCACACAGGTACCAGTAGTTCCAGGGGACAGGACAGGAATGGAGGGCACAGGACAGAATTGTTTCCTTCTGCAGCAGTACAAGGTTGTGCAAATGTACAAAATGCCAAGTGCAGTTCTGCTACCAGTGTCAATCAGCACTGGAAAAGTCCTGACGCTGCCTCACTGTGAAAATTAAAACTTAGAAAACTAACTGAGAAAACAGAGTGAAAGGGAAGGGCAGAGGGAAGCAACACACACACATCCCAAACTACAGCAGGGACAGTTCAGACAGGCTGAAACTGTTCTGGGACTACATGCTGAAACGACTTCTGGATACCAGCCCATCTCTATAGCCCTGGCCAACGCAGCCAATACACCGTATCACATCTGTCAGATAAATTGATGACAGCTCTCAGTTAAGACTTACATTAATTTACAGGCATGATACACACAGGATTACTCTACATGCCAGAAGACACTGGTCTGCCAAGTTTGTTAGATCAAAGATGCTTCCTATGATCCAGGATAATTTAAATTGGCCAAGCAGGTATTCTGTGGACATTAATTTCCATGACTAGCGGCAAGCTCTGTCCTAGAGATAATGTTTACATAGAAAGACTGATTCTGTTAACTGTGATTGATAAGCCTCCCAGCATCATTAAGTAAGAGATAGCACTACCATGCACTAAAATGTCAAAAGTGCAATTAAATAATAACCTTGGCATAATGCTACAATGCTCAAAGATTAATAGTTGTAGAAAGGAATAGTTTTATTTTGGGAGTCTGTGGTTTGCACCTAATTCACTACTAACTTTAATATTCTTGGAAACACTTGCTTAATGTAAGAGTGCTTAAAAACATAAAAAGAAAAAAGTATATTTGGATTGAATTATCGATACAGATTAATTTTAAAAGTGCCATGAAAAATACTTTCCCTACAGATCACTTACAATACATCGACCTAAAATACAGTTATCTATTACTTGTCTTTTTATACCTTTTTTTGCAGTCCACTAGGACATCATACAGCAGTCTCAGAAGAGTATGCTTTTTCTCTGTGCCGAGATTCCAGTCAGAAATCCATTTTCGGACCTACAGAGAATACAAGTGAAAAAGAAGGACTGAGGAAAAGCCTAAAATAAAACTGAAAATATTTCTCATTTTCTCTCAAGCAGAAAAGGACTGAAAAGGTCTCGCACAGACATTTCTCCTGTGGATCCCCTGACACTCCGGCTCCCCATGCAGAAACTGGAAGTTTTCCCATGAGAAGCCAAAAGTCTGTGCTCTTCATGTTACTTCCTAAATAAGGATGAGCGATTCTAATACACTCTGATTCCAGAGCAAGGGACAAGAACTTGATGCCTCCTTCCTGATCAAAGCTTCTCACTTTTATTACTATCACAGGAATCAAACAGACAAATCTAACTACGTTCAACATCAGAAACAGAAAATAAAACAGCAACTTGATTTAAATTCTGTAGACAGACCTTTGAAAGATAAGAAATGCTGTATTCTGCGTTTCGTATTTCACTAGGCTCTGGCAATTTATAACAGAGACGGTCTGTATCAACTCTGACTAATACTTAGTGAGATGCAACATGGTTAATACAAAGGCCGTAACTTGAAGCACCACATTAATTACCTGATCTAGTTCAGTTGGAATGTACTGGATAGCACCACATGACGAGGCCACTTTCAGAAGGCTGCAGTACACTGTGTATCTCACAGGAGTGTTCTTATCCATACCATGGAAGAGATTGCTCAGTCTAAACCACAGACAACAGAGTTAAAGACATTTCAGAAAACATTACTGGAGTGCATAGAAATGTTTCTATTAAGATGCGTGCTAGGACAGACAAAGCATCCGGTGGCACCTTACATCTGGTGACAAACTGTAATGGCTCCAGTTTTGTAACTGTTTTCAGCAAAGAAGCTGAAATCTATGCATTTTAAGTTTGTAATATCCAAGCAAAGCAAGTGTATTGGTACTTCTATTTTATGACAGGGAAAAAAGAAGGTAAAAACGAGTGCTTCCTGCAACAGAGAAACATCTCTTGACAGACACGCCACACTTTGATTTAATGACATGCAAGACAATCCTTTGCAAGATACCACTGCCTCACTTTCCTCTGTACAATACTTACAGCTGCAACCTAAGAGATGGGCGCTCTCCTTCCCGAAATTTTACTAACTTCTCACACAGGCTCTCAATCAGTGCTTCCTGTTTGTCAGGTTCCAGGATAAGAAGCAAAGAGACTACACTGTTCATCACGCTCTCAACATCTGCACAAAACAAAACATGCAGCTCTTGAAATCTGCAAGCAGCAACCATCAGTAGCTATTCAGTGCTGGAGAATTACTTCTGCTATGAATGATTATTTTGCGGCAGCAAGAACTGTAGAAGAGACAAAATGCCAAGATAACCAGTTTGGGTACTCACGAGAATGTACCAGAGATGTGGCTCGTGTGGTCTTTCACCAACACATCCCCATGTAAGGCAAGAATTACTACTCCAAGATCAAAACAAACAAAAAAACCCCCAAATTCGGTGTTTGATACTGCACTTGTTCTGAATTCTCTGCTCACAATAAGAGAAGTCAGAGTAGTAACTTTTGGTCTTAAAAAAAAGTGGCTTCCTCCTGCACTTCCAGCAAACTGCCCCACGGTTCTATAGTGAGAATACTAACACCTAGTGCTCAAACACAGTAAAACACTTCACCAGAAGCACAAGGGATACCCAGACCACAGGAAAAAATGCCCGCACGAACAACGTATGTTCAGAAGCTTTCTTGTTTTAATCGTGGTGTTCCATCCTTTTCAAACAGGACCAGAGAGATTGTGTTTTCATTTCACAGGCTGCCCAAATATCAGTTAACGTGAAGGATAAGAACACAATTCGTTGCATATGGAAAATATTTATTCCCTGAAAATGACATCTGAACATCAAACAGCATAGCAATAAGCTCCTCCAGCATCTCATTTGCCCACAGTAAAAGACAACATGAAAAAAAATCTTTAAGTACTCCTTTCTTAGAGGAACCATGCATTCAAACACCACACAATATTTGTACTAGCAACTGATTTTTTTACATGTAAAAGTTCTAAATGAAATTTGTATATTGGTAAAGAGCACAGCAGGCAGAGAAAGGCATTTAAGGCTACTGCAGCATACCACTGTCATTAAAGCATATTAATGCAGTTTCTAAGGATCTACAGCCCTAACTCGAAAAGAGTTACTGACTACTGAAAATCCCAGTGTTTTCAGACAATAATAATCAATGTTTAAAACTCCTACTTACAGATGTCTAGTCCTAAATTTTGTTGTTACTTTAATTTTTCTTGATCTGCAGCATCACAGCCATTCATGGGCAGTATGTCTCATTTTTATCATACTACTTTTTCCAGAGAGAAAACCTGTTTTACATACAACTTGCTATGCCCTCATAACAAGCATGGCCTAGCTTGATTTCTGACTTCTTCAAAGGGCACTGGATGTTTGGAGAAGGGAGGAGCAGAGTACATGCAAATTCTACATGGCAACAATGGAAATAAGCACTTGCAGTTTTTAAAGACACAAGCTATGCAACATACCTCTACATTCTGCCCACTGTTACTGTTTGAAAGCACCAATGGAGATACGTTTAGCAAAACCAAGACTTAAAGATTCAAACCTTTGTCATCCTCCTTCAGGCACACATCACAGACTTCAATAATCTGTGCCAAGTCCACATGAAGTCCACCTTCAGCGTTTTCTTCGGAGATTTCTGCTCCTTTGGATTTCAGGTAAGCTCGAAGTTCTGCAGCCTTAAAAAACCCAAAAGACAGCACACACACCCCACAGAAAACAGATGGCTTGTGAACAGCAAAGTCAAAGTAATTACATTTCTCACAGATTTTTGTTCTGCAACCACTCCTCTGCCCCCAGCACTCACTCACACTTCTCACTTCTCCCTACCACCCTGTATCCTACAACACTCCCTCTCCTCCATTTTAACATACGACCCAAATACCAACTCGGTGTAAGATGCTGCATGTGCTGTGGCTGGTTTGCCAGGAACTGAATAGATCACACAACTGTTGAGCTTTCTCATAGTATCAATGTTACTTACAACTGGTTAGAAAACAGCAGGCCTAGTAATTTTTTTTGACAAAGATGCTTTCTTAAGAATTTTTATTATGTTTTATAGCCTTTTAAAATCCCAGGCAAAAAACTAAAACATTTTAGTTGCTTCTTCACCAGAAAAGGGTATAAGCAAAACCTCTTTAGAGAAGGCAGAACTTACAGTCTTCAGACAAGTTAAATCCAGTTCCCAATATAATGCTGTGACCTGCCTTACCTTGTTAGGATTTAAACCTACATTAAGAAAACACCTTTCCCCCAGCAACAGGCCTGTGCATTAACTTCACAATCCACGGTTCAGCAGCAGAACCACAACCCTTCAGAAACAATCTGGACGAGGCCATCCTATGTCTGGCACAGGGGAACTCTGCCCAGGATAGTGCTGTGACACCAGGTCTAAGTCACACCAAGTTCAATGTCAAATCGTTGCAGTACCCTAAGGCACAGCTACGACCTCCAGGACCCTTTAGTGTATGGAAGATGTTTCAGACTAACTACTTGATGGGCATTTACTAGACATTAGGGCAAGCGAAGGCTGGACTCAAGGCTAGTAGTTGTGTATGCATTTCTTGTGCATATGGACGCCACTGAAAAGACACGGGGAACAAGCAGCCCTAAAATTCACAGACAAAGAAGTAGCTCAAGGACAAAACTCACAGTTCCCATGCCTGTTGTATCGAGAACCCTGCAAAACCAGAATGATAAGTAATGCTCCAGCCGTACCTGAACTAGTTCTCCTCTCCTTAAAAATCAGCACTGCCGAGGAGAGATGAGAATAGAGTACCGGGGAAGGGGGAAAGAACTCTGAAAACTGCAAACGCAGGCTTAGCTTGCAGCTTACGGGTTCCTCTCCCGCCTGTTCAACCCCGCAGCAAACGGCCCGCACACGGTCACGGGGAGCAGCGCGGGGCCCGCAGCCAGCACGGCGGCAGGACAGGCAGGCGCTGCCCCGACAGG